TTGATCTAACCTCGAACTTTTACAGCTGCACTACCACGCCTGCCTCTCGGCATCGATGATGAGCTTGGAGCTCGGAGGGCGGGACTTGAAGGAGGAGGAGACTAACGCCTCCTACGAGCGGAGGATCGTTGAGCTCGAAGCTGAGGTTGACTAGGCGCGAGCTGAGAAGGAGGCTGATGCCGATAGGTCGAAAGCCTTGATAGCCCAAGCTCACACCGACCTGAAGAACGCTCGGGGCCGAGCTGAGACCGCGGAGAAGGGCTGGAATTAAGCTCAGCAGAATCTGGCCAGCTGGGCCTATCTAGAGAAGAAGGTCAAAGAATTTCCCGAGTTCGATGGCTTGGCTCGGGATCTAGCAGATAGGGGCTTCTACTACGTCGTCAACAAGCTTGATGCCGTTTGCCCGAAGGAGGCTGTTGCCGCCGTTGAGCAAGAGTACGAGTCCATCTAGGCCTATCGACCTTCTGATGTCGATAACGAGGCTGAGGCCACTGGGTCGCCGCGATCGTTGACGCCGACGTAGGTACCGACAGTCCTGCCGACCCTCTGCAGGAGTAGACAGCCTCCGCCTTCTGTTGCTTCTTTTCATTTTATCATCACTTTTATATTCAAACTACTGTACCGAGCCGAGGCATATATACCTTGGCTCTTCATCAAACTTTCAATTTTAATGGAAACAAATTAGCTCAGACTTGGGTCGTTCTCTCCGAGGTCCCTATACTTAGAGAAATTTTCTTTAAAATTATTAAAATTTTAATGATGGTCTCGTTATCTGAGTTTATCAAGCCTTGATAATTGCCTCCCTACACAACGGCTTACGAGCCGAACAGTTCAACTCGGCGGTGTGTTCAACAAAGTTTTTTTTTGGGATAGCTAGGTTCCTACGAGCTGACCATTGCTTCGGATGTTTGTAAAAACACAACTTAGTGTAGGTTTTTTAGCATAGGTCATACCGCGTAGGCTTCCTTGGCCCCCATTTGACGTAGCTTGGTAGTAGCAGACGACACTAACGAATATAGTCAAATATTGCACAAGTCATTGGAGATCGACTTTCATTAATGAATGAGATTTTACACGTCGGATTACACACGTCTCATTGATAATAAACTCGCAAATGTTCGGCGTTCCATGGGTGGGGGAGTTGTCTCCCATTGAGGTCGGATAGCAGATACGCTCCAGGTCGGAGTATTTCCAAGACTCTGTACGGACCTTCCCAGTTCGGCTCGAGTGCTCCGACATGCTGCATTATCTTCTTGAGCACGAGGTCACTAGGCTTGAACGTTCTGACTTTCACTCTGGCGTTGTAGTACCGAGCCATACGGTTCTAATATTCTGCTAGTCTGAGCTGGGAGTTAGATCGTTTCTCCTCGAGTAAGTCAAGATTCACAAGGAGAGCTTCACTGTTGGTTTGTGCATCGAAGTTCTCAACTCGGGGCGTCGGCATGCCGATCTCCACAGGGATGACGACCTCTGACCCGAAAGCTAAGTTGTACGGCGTCTCTCCAGTAGATCGGCGGGGTGTAGTTCGGTAGGACCACAACACCTCCGACAGCTCTTCTACCCACCGACCTTTCAGGGATTCCAACCTTATCTTCAGACCACGCTTGATGATCTTGTTGACAGCTTCAACCTGCCCGTTGGACTGCGGATGGGCCGGAGACGAGCTGAGGTGGCGTATGCCGAGCTGTTGACAGAACTGATTAAATCGGGTACTGTCGAACTGTTTTCCATTATCAGTGATGATGGCGTTCGGTATACCGAACCGACATATTACGCTCTTCCACACAAAGTTGACGACCTTCCCCACAGACGACGCCAGATGTTTGAGCTCGAGATTGCTGAGCTCAGATGTAACGTAGATCGGAACGTTCAGGATGGCGCCAGATGTTTGAGCTCGAGATTGCTGAGCTTAGATGTAACGTAGATCGGAACGTTCAGTTGCCATCAAAGAGGCCCAATTGCCATCAAATTATTATTTTCTCTTTTGATATTCCTAACAATCTCCCACAAATGACAAAAGGAGAAAAGATAAAAATAGTAAAATTCTGAGCAATATAGGAATAAAACTTAAGCATTAATATTTTAAGATTTGAATTAATGCATAGTGAAGTGAGGCAACAACCTAAGTAGTGTAAGTGAGTTACCTCTTGAACTTTCAATAATTATAGTTGAGACCCCCACAAAACATTTTAATCCTTCATTTTGATTCCGCGATATACAACAAGTGCTTTTAATGGCCATGCACATAGAACCTTGGGTCACGTGAAAAACTCTAGAAACCTAAACTCTTTCATAGAAGGCGGCCGCACCCTCACAATCACGTTAGTGCTTCATAAAGTTTATCAAAGATAAACCACTCAAAACTTAACTATGAAGACTTTGTAACTAATCCATCAAGTCTATGAATAGACCACCCAAAGACTAGGCTATGGATTTACATTACTCATCAATAATCCATCAAGTCTATGCATAGACCACCCAATAAGGGCTATGGATTCACAATTGATGTATCAGGGGTTTTAGCCCCATACATGCCGAGGACTCAAGGATTACTCTCCTTGTTAGGCCTTTTGTGAGAGGATCTGCCAAGTTCCTCTCGGACCTTACATACTCCAAGGATATTACCCCGCCTTTTAGCAACTGTTTCACAGTTCCATGTCTCAAGCGTACATGCCTCCTCTTGTCATTGTACACACTGTTTTTGGCAATCTCTATGGCAGCTTGGAAGTCACAGTATAGGGACACTGGCACAGATGCCCCCCACAATGGCACGTTTCCAAGAAGACTTTTGAGCCATTCAGCCTCTTGCCCTGCTAGTTCGAGTGCTATGAACTCAGACTCCATGGTGGAACGTGCTATGCACGTCTGTTTTGCTAACTTCCACAATATAGCTCCTCCACAAAAAATAAACACATATCTACTAGTGGAGCTTACCTCATCGTTATCTGTAACCCAGTTTGTATCACAATATCCCTTTAACACAACAGGAAATTTGTTAAAATGCAAACTATAATCCATTGTCCCTCTTAAATATCTTAATAAACGATGAAGAGCATTCCAATGTTCTTTACTAGGATTATGTGTATATCTACTCAATCTACTAACCGCATATGCAATATCAGGTCTAGTGTAGTTTATTAAAAACATAACACTACCTATGATGTTTGCGTATTCAGATTGAGATACACTATCACTTTTATTTTTCTTAAGACTTATGCTTGCATCATAGGGTGTTCTAACAGGTGGTTTATCAAAGTAGTCAAATTTCTTCAGCATTTTCTCAATATAATGCGATTGACATAAAGAGAAACCTTTATCATTTTTCTTTATTTTCACACCAAGTATTACATCGACCTCTCTTAAGTCTTTCATTTCAAAATGTGAAGACAACAATAACTTGGTATTATTAATGACATCTAAGTTTGTACCAAAAATCAGCATGTCATCAACATATAAGCAAATAATCACACATTCAGCTCCAAAACTCTTTGAATAAACACATGCATCACAACAATTTACTTTTTAGCCCTTGTTTACTAAAGTACAATTAAACTTTTCATACCACTGTTTGGGAGCTTGTTTTAGACCATAGAGTGATTTTTTAAGCTTGCATACTTTATTTTCTTGACCAACCACTACAAGACCTTCAGGTTGAGTCATATAGATCTCTTCTTCTAAATCTCCATTAATAAATGCTGTTTTTACATCCATATGATGTATTAACAGGTCATGAATAGCAGTAAGAGCAATTAGAGATCTAATAGTGGCTATTTTGGTTACAGGTGAATATGTATCAAAATAATCAATACCAAATTTCTATG